CATATAATAATAATAATAATAATAACTTTATTGCCTCCGTGTAAAAAGATTTACATGGGATAAGTACAGCAAAAAAGAGTTTTAAAATAATAAGATATATGTAAGAATTGTACAAAAAAAAAAAAGAACTTAACTAGTATTTAAATGTTAAATAAATCTTTTTGTTGTGTAAATATAATTGGCAAGTTCTATAATTATGCCAGGATTTTTGCTTGAGAGTATATATGTGAACTGTATATTTTTGTTGTTGGATGAAAGTAGTATCATAATTTAGTTTTCCCTGTGTGTGTTATATTTTGGGCTAAATGTTAAATGTTCTTCATCTTCAATTGAATTTGTGTCACAGTTATTGCATATTTTGTTTATAGGTTTCTTAGGAAAAGAATATTTGCCTTCCTCTATTGCCAAGTTATGGTTACTAATTCTTAATTTTGTCAACATTTTTAAGACTTGATACCAGTGCTTTGTTGACTGACTGTATTTCTATTATTAATAATGATAGTATCATCATTCGTCATCATTGGCCAGCTAATACTTGAGTAGATATTGACTAATCACATAGCTGGGCCTTGGAATGCATAAATTGAATTTTGAGTCACTCCATTCTCAAGACACATTGTGAGAGAAACATAAATGTGGTATATCCTTTCAAGATTGGTTCGAAAAATTGTTTATATGCCATACGATATACTTCCTTACTCTCAGCACAACAAACCTGTTCCCTTCATCTTTATAAATATTTATTAATTTCAATGGCAGTTGAATCCAGCCAATCAATCAATCAATCAACAAGCACAGTGCACATCGTCATTATTTGAAAACAGTCCAATGTTCTTCAATCAGCCAATAGAAACCTCATGTTCAGTATGAATTGTAAAATTTATAAAGATTTATAAAGTTGGGAATGAGTTTGTTGTGTTGAGAGTATTATCCATTCAGAATCATATTTTAACAGTGATATTGATAAGTAATTCATTTGAAAGCAAATAAACTGAATATATCAAAAATGTCTTACTTAGGGTATCTCAGTGTAAAATTATTTAATCTTCTTTTGAAACAAGAGTTACAATTACAATGTATGGATATGATACTTGAATGCCATTCACCCAGGTCCAATGTCATGGAATATATTCTTGGTGGCGGACATCCAGGCATTTTCACCGTATGGCAACCATCACGGTGAAAACAAAGGCCGAAAACTTTCAGAAAACGGTACTTTGGGATGGTTGTTGAGACTCTCCTGATTGCCCTGAACAGTGTAACAAGATTACCCCTGCGTGTGTAACGCATATAAATTTGATTGTTCAGGATTACTTCAAAGTTGAGTTCCTGTTGTTTTCTTGAATTTTCACCGGCACTTCACTCGGCGTTCCGCGTTCCTCAGCAGTGCGCACAGAGCCCATAGAAATACGTGGTACAGTGGTACGCGTCTTAGCAACGTGGAACGTCTAGATTTCCAGTCTCTGTCCCTCACATATGTAGTTTGCGCTTCTGTTTGTTATACTGCCCTCAATGGTATTTGTTATTATACACATCGACACAGATTGGGAAAAACTTGACAGCGGTGGGTTCTACCAGACCATATTTTAGCCTGGTACATAACAGAATTTTGTATCTCGGTTGTGTAGAGCCAGCCAATCACAGTTATTCTATGCCTTTGATTTTCTTTTGAATAAATGTCACCAAGTCCAAATATTAGCCAATTTCTCTGAGTAATATGGTTGAATATTTCCTCTTTATATTGTCTTTAACTTGGCACATTAGTTGAAGCCACTTAACATCTCAAGGAGATAAAAATCTAACCTCAATTAAGTAATTTGTATTTGTATTTTGTATTTGTATTTATTTATTTACACCAGAAAAAGAAAATATACATAACACAATTAATTTTTCCCTTTTACCACTGCAAAGGATTCTGGTGTGGGTCATGGAATTAGCTCATTTGAGCTAGTCCAGTCCTAGACCCGGAATAAGAAATAATATTGTACTGACGTGCAGATTATCATAAATTTATCATATACATATATTTTATACTACCAGTCAATTAGTCAGCTTGTCAATCAGTTAATCAGTCAGTCTGTTGTAGTGAGTTGTCAGCCAATAGTCGTATAATTAATCTGAATATTCAGATATAAGTTCAGCTTTCAGACAATTTTTAAAAAAAATATCTACTAATATTGGCATTTTGTAGTTCTGGTTCTAGTGAATTCCAATGCTTATTTGATGCAAACTTTATGTTATGCTGGGTTATAGAAAGTTTTGTTTTTGGTATAGAGAGGCTACCACTTCTATTTATTTTAGTGGGATAATTATGAGAAGGAGTGTTGATGTAGGTATCAGGACAGCGTGTGAAACAATTTTTATTTAAATCAAAAATATATAGACAAGAGTGGAATTTACATAGTTTATGAATGTCCAGAATTTGAAGAGAACGGAACAGTGTTGCAGAATGCGAGTTCCATTTTGAAAAAGTGATAAGCCGCACAAGTCTTTTCTGGAATCGTAGAATCGGTTCAAGAAGGGTAGGATAAGCGTTTCCCCATATTTCAACACAGTACGTTAAATGTGGAAGAATAGTCTGAGAGTGTGCCTCTCACAGTAAATAAATGCACCCTCTTGATGATAATTGCTATGTTCACACGGCAGCATTCTATCGGAGCCGAACTACTGCTTCTCCCACTGATTAACAGGAGATTATCTCCAATGCGTTCATACGGTCGGGAGCCGAACGAGAGCCGAGATCTGCCAGAGTTCGATTCAGTTCGATCAGAGCCAAGCGAAACAGTGCCCTCGAATAATGAGTATGAAAAAAAATGTACTGAAATCGATTTTGGTGTTGTATTTGTGTTGTTTCTTTACATGGCACGATGCTGGTGGGCTGGGAGAAAAAAAAAGTCGCGAGTCTGAGCATGGAGGTAGAAAAGACAATGCACTAGTGTTATTATTTAGGTACATGTACTCGTACCTCGAATAAACAGGAAACACGCCAGCTAAAATGTGTTACAACCCATTATTTATTGTCATGCAAAATTATCATTTTGTAATTATTCAACTGTTAGTGATATCTAAACTACTAGTACTATGAAGAATCACAGTCCCTCTATCCTCTATACCGGTATATCATAGAGGGACTGCGGAAGAATCTAAACCTACTAGATCGCTTCTACAATTTTTTCTTTCATGTCTTTAAAAAGTTTCTGTTTAGTCGTTCTTTCAAGTTCTCGTTGAATAATGTCGTACGCCATTTTTCCCGTTTCCATTTGAGCTATCAATCTATCGCAGTGGCAAGTAATTCTTTGCTCTGCCAAGTGTAAATTAGGGCACGTACCTCTTCTTTAAGCCGGAAATTGCGTGAAATTACGAAATATGTTGTCTCCGCCATAATTGAAATGATAGGTTACTTGAAGAAGACGATTGAGGGCGTGCTTTCGGCTCCGATAGTTGGGCCCTGATGCGTTTACACGATCGGAGCCATGTCGGGACTCAACCCTATCGGAGTTGAACACTGAGGGTTTAGTGGAGCCTAACTTGGCTCGAGCCGGCTCGAGCCGAACGCGTTCACATGGCTATTTTTGCTGGCTGGAGCCGTAGGGCTCTGATAAAATGCTGTCGTGTGAACGTAGCAAATATGACACCAAATTTAAATCTTATACTCTATTGAGAGGAATCATGATTGTTGTTGAGCACAATCTTGTTGGATGGCTATCTGTATTTACCATCTGCTCCATTGACCAGAGGAAAGAATGGTCAGTTTGGCGGAAACACAAGACTAAATGACGAAAGTGCTATACATGTACGTAAACTGTCAATGTAAAGACGCCCATCCTCTATACAACAAATTCTAAAATGTTAAAAAAAGTCAAAATCATGATTATATTTAATACTTTAGCTTATCCAGTTATATATTCATGCATGTTGAGTACAAACACTGATAACTTTAAAAAAGAGGGATTGTTTACATCCTTTAAAGATCAAACTTACGAGAATTCATTTCTATTCAGTTTGATTATTTGTCACTGATTCGTGCAACACCCAAAGTTGTCATCACTCGTCATATTGGACCCATACTTGCGAATACGTGATGACCACCACCCTTTAATTATTTTGTCAATCAGGAAATAATTAATTGATAATTCATGCAAAAACATATGTTTAATTAACTAACATTTTAAAATTGTCTGTATTAGGTATATTTCATAAAACTCGTGCCATTTCTAAACTGAAATAACAGAAGCCACCTACATGTACATATAAGTGTATGATCTCATATAATATGACCTATGACCTTAATCTTTTCACCATTCTTGCCCATATTTTTCACCACTTTTTTCTTATATTCTTCAATATTTCTGGAAATGAGCCCTAATTATGGAGCCAACAGACAAAATTTAAGTCAGTTGTCAGCTTTTATTTAAAACAATTTGGCTATTTTTGCTCTAATCTTCTGAAGGAAAGTGCAGACTATCATCGGGACTATATTGTGATTATGTGATGAAAAATGGGATCCGGTGGTGAAAAGGTTAACCTTGATCAACCTTTGTTTTTTTGATTTTCTAGGACTACATTGGTGACCGACTCTCAGATAAAATTATAACAAGACTTCACGCAGAAATGTGCAACATGCTATCATCCAGTAGTGAAAAACACTCCATTGTTACCATGGAAATGTTTACTATCACCATGGCATTTCTACTGAAAGGCACAATAGAGGAGCAAAGTTGCATAATCCATCACTTAGCAACCGAAAATAATGACTCTGTATCTTCACAAGACATGTATGAGGTGATGAGTTGTTTTCACATAATTGATTGTTATACTGCAATGTGCACTCATTTCTGATGACGTCATAAAGCATTATGTAATGTAATTAAATATTCATTAGGTAATTAATTAAACCACAATCATGTAGAGATAGATTTGGCTATTAAGATTGCATTCTTGTAGTTAGCCTGACGAGGTTGCGTTAGTTGCACCCTCCACGGTTCTCCAAACCCAACACATGCATGTCAGCACAATGTAGTTTTTCACTTCCCCTACAATTTTTTATCAGTACCATTCAAACTGCAGAAACGTCAGGTAGCGACAGCCATCAAAGAATAACCATTCATGGCAGAGATTATTTGTTTGTTGACATAACGTGTGGAAAATTTCCGCCCAATGTTTATCATCTTGTTAGAAATGCAGTATTGATGTTGCCGACGAGACACACACTATTCTGTCAGGCATTAATGAGGTCTGATGCCATTTGGCCGGCGAGGGCGCTACTCACGATTACATGTCAGCCTATTATGTAGTGTGACCAAATCAAAACCACAACAACAAATCAAGGTGGATGATTTTTAAAAGTATTATTCTTGTCTTGGCAAATTGTCCAATTTCAGTTTCATGAATAGTGCTATAGCACCGCTATATTGTTAGTAAATACATTTGTAACAAACTCTATTGTCAAGAAGTGTACATGTATTCAAAAATTACAATATGTCATCAGTTGTGAATCAGTTTTAAATATTGAGTCGTAGTCACAATTGTATATCCGAGTCTGCTTGCTGGGATAGAATCTGAATATGGCAATAGTTTCACCTTCATCTACAGTATCTACTTCTATTTCCTTCTTTTAGTTTGTTAGTGATATCATTCATTATGTGGAGGATGCCTTGCAGCCTATAATAGAAGCAAAACATTGGCAACTCAAAACAACACCTGAATCCAATGATAGATTTGCTAGATATCTTGTTAAAGACTTATTCTGGAAAGGTAATATTGTATTTTGTTCTACTGTTAATGCATACACAGAAAATGCGTTTAAAATATGCTCAGCGGCTGTTTCACCCCTACTTTGTCGGCAAAATTTTGTCTTGTAAACATAGACTTTGCATACCCCCCAAATTCAAATCTGGACTTGACAATCAGTTCTAATTCATTGTTCGATCAAGTACATGATTTTTTCATTTGCTAGTATGATTCAAGGTGTGTCAACACTTTCTGCGATCCATGTGCTTGAATTGCTGACACTATAGATGTAACCAAGTCTACACTATACAGTGTATGTACAACAAATATGAATGTGTCATTAGAGTGCTCTAAAGTGACTTGGCAATGATTTACAACACTTCAAACTCTACAAGAAATCACAAAACAAAGCATGCTTGTGGCTTTAAATAAATTTACTATGGATGCCAAAATGAAAACTTTGATAAGGTCTGAGGTGAACCTTGGTGAACTGGTTAGGCTAAGGCCATGGTAAACCAGCCAGACTAGAACCATAGTGAATTGACCAGGCTAAGGTCATGGTAAACCAGCCAGACTAGAACCATAGTGAACTGGCCAGGCTAAGGCCATGGTAAACTAGCCAGACTAGAAACCACAGTGAACCGGCCATGCTAAGGCCATGGTAAACCAGCCAGACTAGAACCATAGTGAACATTCCAGGCTAAAGTCATGGTAAACCAGCCAGACTAGAACCATAGTTTGATTTGATTTATTTCACCAATAATAATAACAATTCTAGTAATCTTA